GACCTTGGTGACCTCGGTGACCTTGAAGTAGAAGATGAAGAAAGAATATCAGCTCGTCGAGGAAGCCTTGGAATCCGAGGAGCCGCGAACCTACCGGGCCTATCTGAAGACCTTGGTGAGCTCGGTGACCTTGGACTAGAAGAGCCAGAAACCTACCGAGTCTGTCCGAAACGTCGGTGACCTTGGTGTAACCTTGGTACAACCTTGATGTAACCTCGGTGTAACCGTGGACTAGAAGAGGTAACCGGAAGAATAATTGTGTTGCAATTTCGTCTGTGATTCGAGCCGCGAGCTCTCGATTATGCTCGAGGTGGTTCGCGAAAGGAGAAGGGGGTGTGCAAAGGCGAAAGGGTTTATAGACCTTAAGGTGTTTACGCCGAAGAAGAGAGACGATGTAAAATAAGAGATGATAACGATGTAAGCTACTGTATAATTTCGTCCACTGATTATTGTAAATTGTTACGGAACTACTGAGATCTCTATTGTAAAGTGGTCGCGGCTGAAGCTTTAATTCGCTTGACGGTGTTATCTATTGTTTATTGCATACTTTTATCGAGAATTTTTGTTTATTTTGCCCCATTTTCGCGCGGGAACGCCCCGTGTATAGTACGAAAGAAAAAAAAAAAAAAAGAAAAAAAAAAGAAGAGCCCTTTCTCGCGCTGAAAACGTTGTTATGTATCTCCTCGGTCGTGTTTTAGGTTAACTCGAACGTTTTAATAGTCCTGGCCAACGCTGATAACGGGACGAGCATGACCGAGCAAAGGATTTTGTGATAGAGAAACGTGTACCTGTGATATTTACTGTAGACATAGGAAAACGATACTAGATTTTTAATAAACATGTTCCCTTTGTGAAAATAAATTCCTGTTTGTATAAATTCATTTTATGTTACGTCGTTCACCCGACATATATCCTCTCCATTTCCTCTTCGTTTAATTAACTTCGTTTAATTCACTCGATTAAAAGTATCTGAGTCAAAGGGTTCGAGTATTGTCTCGAAAGTTTTCTAGTAATTCGGACATCTGAATTTTTTATCCAAATTTTCGTGTTTTCTACGATAGTATTACGTGTACGTATATTAAACGATAACGCGATTGAAATGATGTAATTTAAAGGGATAATCGCGACGAAAGTTGGCTACCAAGGTCAACGGCTGTTTCCAAAATGGTATGCGGTATTTTTTACGACAGAATTCGGTTGATCGATCAATTCTGGGACCGAAAGTATCGAGGTATACCCACTCTAAAAGTGATACTTTAAAAGATATTAAATTTCTAAGATTTTTCACGATTTGACCTTGACTGACCTTGAGATCACAGGCCATTGAACTCGTCCTTGGACATGTACGTCAATGATAGGGCACGATTTAACTTAATATTTCCTTAACTTAACTTACTTAATATTTTCAACTGAAAATCATTGAATTTTATTGTTAATCTTAATTATAATTAATCAAGATTAAGATTGAGTGGATACGAAGATGAAATGTTTCAGATCGAGTAAACGATTATCGAATAATGAAAATGGATAGACAGACACCAGAAAATCATTTATTCTTAATTTCTCTTTTCCCTACTAATTGTTTCGTTAAAGTTCCTTTTTCTTTACGATCCTTTTATTCTTATTCCACGATAAGTATCTACCTTTATTTAGCTATTGTATTATTTATTAGACAAGCCTTCTATTAATAGAGCATTTCCTAAAAATAGATTAATATTGAAACTTTGAAAATGCAATTGGAAACACTTTAAAAATATGAATAACATATTAATTTCTCATGAACGGAACCATTAATCGGATGTAATGAACTACTGCACACTGCAGAGCCATCTTCTAACAGTTTCGTGAAACTACTGAAAGTTGCGCTCTTTTTGTAGGTACCTTACCATAGGAGGTACTTTGTTACCATGCACGAGGTTAGAATATGAATATTATATTACTATTGTAGGTAATGCAATTACTGCAGGTGTTTCTGCGTTATCGACGGGCTGTTTTTGAATCGAATTCAACTGTGTTCGCAAAGTATTTCTGTAGATGCGAAACTCGGGCGATCCTCGCTAGGGGAACATCGCTAGGGGAGCATCGCTCTCAAGATGGCGACTTAGTTATAAAAATAGTAAAACGAAATTCAAACACGAATTTGTCCACTTACATTTCCATTAGTAATAAATAGACGATTATTCAGGTTGAATGGACGAATCGAAGCATAAAGAATCCACGAAAATCATTCGAAAGTTGTTTATGATGAATGCACACCTTTAGGGAATTTGCAGTTTGGTGTCAGTGACGCCATTGGTGGAATAATTGCCCAAGTTCTTCATTTTTCCTAAATGCGTAATTAATACAATTCTTTGCTTTAGAATACTACAATTTATTATTTTAATATATTAATTAAGGATTTATCTGCTTTTACATGTGCATTTGAGTCTACAAGTTTAGATCGTTGTTCTAAGGTCACTATTTACAATTTACGTAAATGTATTTTAACCGAAAGTAGCTTCAATTTGAACGAAACAATAACAGTATAAAATAATAAAATGGTAAAGGAAGGTGTAAATATTTCTAATCTATCATTTTTCAACGATATTTGATTTTTTTTATTTGATTTTGTAGTGGCGCCATCGGTGGCGAAACGCCCAAGCTTGAAGTAAAAATAATTCTCACTAGCGTCGCTAGATGATTCAACATCTACCTTTTAATAAATTATTTTTAATTTGCCATAAATGCATTATGAGTACAATTCTTAGCTTCCTAATGCTACGATATCTATGTTATAATGTCAAATTTATCGTTTGTGCGAGTAGTTACTTAATTTAACAATAATTATCGAGGCCTGTGGTGGACGACTCATCATCGTCGATAAGAAGATTTATGAAGACCGTCAGTAAAGAAGAACTAACTGTTAACTCGATGATACTCGATGTTATTCATTTGATTGTCTTTTGTGAAACATAATTTAATGTTGTTTGCCTTTCAAATATTTTAACGCACTTTCTGTCGATCCATTAAGCAAGAGAGATCGTTTAAAATAATGGGTAAAAATATGGGTAAACCTTACTCATACCCCTTTAATAAGTGTCGCCATCTAGCGACGATAGTGAGAACTAGTTTCATCACAAGCTTGAACGTTTCGCCACCGATGGCGCCACCGGTACTAAACCCATAATAATATTAATACCACTGTTTATTTGCTATATTATTCATTAAAATGTCACAATTTAAATAATTTAGCTTGTCTCAGGCCCAGAATAAATAATCTTAGGGCGTATACTCCCCGATAAGAGTCCCTCTGTTTAATTTTTTAGTCTAGCCGAATTGCAAGCAGTGCCGGTCTTAGCATTATTGGCGCCCCGGGCAAGATTATCGTTAAAATTTGTGAGAAAAAAGGACAAGGTAATAATATCAAACGGTGAATCTCTAGTTAGATCGTAAAAATTGTTAAACTACGTAGCATGAGAAATCATCGGTATATTCGCATATTAGGGACACCTGGCTACGGCGCCCCCTACAAATCAAAGACCCTGGACAATTGACCGATCGCTTGACTGCAAGTATCGCGGTAGAAACGTTCAAAGACTCCCAGAAAAGCAGAGTTTCTCGTCTGTAAAACAAGTAAAACTCTATGGTTCTCGGTATCCAAGCGTTCCTGATCTGGCGCGCCAACTGTCGGCGAGAATCGCGACTAGTTTTTCAGGCGAATCGATATTCTGCTCAAATATTGACTTCGCGATTGTGAGTGGTGTCGCAAGCCGAGTCGTGCAGTACAGTGCAGTAGACGGCGATGCTCTTTTAAAAACCGCGTCCCCGAAGAGTGATACACAAAGTGCTGTTAGGCGAGGCGATAATCGGAGTATCCTGGAGACAAGGACCAAGGAAAATGCTGTTGGCGGCTGTGCTTTTAGGATTGACCCTAGGTCTCTCCCACGCGAGCATCCCAGCCCTCGAGTCGACTCCGAGTTCCTTCAACAATCATGGAGGTGATTTCATTTCTCTTTTCCGATGGCCTACATTTACCTGAACCACCTCCGAACCCTCTCCTTCAATGAAAAATCGTCCGTAACGTTTCCATTAAGTTACTTCCGTCGAATCGTGGCTGATTTGACGGTATATCGCGCGGTGGATGACTCGCAGGTGCGATTGTTCCTTTGGCGAGCACCTGCAGTCACCCAAACTGTTATGGCGAATTCATTGACTGGTCCCAATAGGTCCTCCGATACCGTATTTGCACCTGATTTAGTCGATGCGGCCCGAGACACGGGAAAAATAATTACGACGACGTACATGACGCCTAATATGCTCAGTTATGTCAGAATTAATCACGTTTTTATTGATAACGAGGTAGATAAACGTCAAATCGGAATTAATTACGAGAAAACAGTTCCGACTGGAATCGGAATCGGATTTTTTTCCGTTGATTAGTTATTACTCGAGCGTCTTGTGTATCTATATGAGATGCAATAATATTTTGACACGGTTCGTCGAATATTTTCATAAAAATTCATTAAAGAGATCCGCATTATGATCCTTTATCGTTGCTCGCGTGATGAATCGATATGTACAATCTGCATAATTCGAACTATTCTTAGTTTCTTTACATTCGATTTTATTGTATTTTTTATCGCAATGAAAATAGTTCGAACCAGATCGAGTACTCTGTAGTATTTCGTAATTTGTATTGGATGCTTAATTACCACTCAACAATACATCCTTAGAAACTTTACATACTTCATAAATTATTTAATAACTTTCAAGAAATTTAAAAATTTATCTACTCGTGATTATTATTATTAAGCTTGTAAATGTCTAAAGATTCTACAAATAATTTAAAAGACTCTCGATTCAACTATTCCTTTCCTCGATTTTGCATTATACGTGTTCGTCCTGTTTTTAGATGGATTCAACCCAACCCTTTGAACTCCAACATATATGCTCCAGTGAATGTATCCGCTGTTGCTATTGACCAGATTACAATTGAAAGTCGCAAGAATAAATATCATTTACCCTGAAAACAAATTGTCCCTGCAACTAGTCTTCCATTTACGCTCAACCTTAATTCGATACAGTTCATTTCTAAAAGAGAAACAAATACAATGCAAACAGGAAGGAAGTCACCTTGAAAGAACCAAAATGAACACGAATAAACCAAAGAAAATTAGCCACAAATATACACAAAACTTAAAATCTTGTTTGTATCCCACGTACTCACAAATATTGCCCGTTTTCAGTTCCACGATTGGATTTGGATAGTCTGGAAAGCGGATACCACGGTTTGGTGAAGGAAAACGAAACTCTGGTCGAGGTAACGCCGCAGATTCGAGCTTTGGGTGCCAAGGTATGCTCCTTCCGCATCGCAAACAAACACCACGGCGAGGCACCGTTCGAAATTGTCCTGAAAGAGAAAGGAATGGCGGAGCTGAGAGCTCTACGAGTCCTGAACTGCGAGAAAAGGCGCAACTACAAGTTCGACGTCCAAGCTGTTGGCTGCAATGGCGCGTTTTCAGAAAAGTACGAATCATGTAACGTAAACTGCTCAACTAGCTATAGTTTCAATACTAAATCGTCCTTTGAATTTCATTCCAGCGCCACGGTGCACATCACAGTAGTGGACGTGAACGAGTATGCTCCACAATTCCTTCAGCCAGCCTACGTCAGCACAGTGGACGAAGGCAGACTCTACGAAGAAGTGGTACGCGTGGAAGCCTCCGACAGGGACTGCACTCCGAAATTCGGAGACGTGTGTAAATACGAGATCCTGACTGCAGATCAGCCCTTCATCATCGACAACGAGGGAGCCATACGCAACACAGAACCCTTAGACTACGAACGTTCCCATAACTACATCCTTAGCGTGGTCGCGTACGACTGTGGCATGAAGCAATCAGCTCCAGCCATGGTGACCGTCAAGGTAAACCGTGTCTGCGCTCCAGGATGGCGAGGGATCCCAGAAAGGGTAGACTACGCCGCTGGAGTATCCTCTCAACCGTTGCTCCCCTCTGCAAAGCTAGACCTCTGCGACGCCCCATGTATACTGCGCAACGTTAGAGCTACTCTAACCCTCGCCACGGATCATATAGGCAAGGGCTGCGACCGTGACACCTATGGCGTCCACAGCCAACGCAAACTATGCGGCGCATCTCGCGAGAGCGTCGATTTACTACCCACCCCTGGACCCACCACTTCCTGGACTGCCTCTCTGTCCAGGGACGAGGGCAGGGAAGCTGACGAAATATTCGAATTCGACGGGGTTGACTCGGCCGCCATTATACCTAGCGACGTTCTGGAGCACACCTTGGCTCAGAAATTCACGATTGGAGTGTGGGTGAA